AACTGCTCCAGGTTTCTTGGCATTTTCTATCCTACAAGCGCCCCTTTCTTCTGGGGGGGACAGGTCCCCTCCTCCCCCAACGCACTCACCGTCCATGAGGTCGAAGGTGGTGCCGGCGACGTTGAAGGTGCCGGAGGTCGGGTACGGGTAGAAGTACTTGTGGTTGACGCGCCACGAGCGGTCGTTGTACAGGTCGTAGACGACGAGGCCGTACTCGGTGACGTCGGCGACGTAGGCGAAGGCCGACCCGCACGAGTGGCGGTCGGCGCCGCGCACGTCCACCGCCACCGTCACCGGCAGCGACCCGGCCTGCAGCACGTCGTCCGGGAAGCGGTGCTTCTTGAGGACGCGGTCGCCGCCGCGCAGGTCGAACACCACCAGCTTGGGCGGGCAGATGAGCTCGAAGCGCGACAGGATGTCCACGCGGCCCGTGTCCAGCGCCCACAGACGCCCGCACGCCTGGTCCACCTGCGCCACGCCACGCGACGCGCGCGCAAGGGTCAACACGCGGCACCGTGGGCACGGGCAGGGATCGGGCGGGGGGAATGAAATGAACGCTCACAGTTTGAAATCATTTTGTGAAGACAGAACAGGCAGCCGCCTATTCCTTGAAGTGCAGAAGAAGAAGACGTTTCAAATCGTAAGGGTCTTACTAACTGGTCAAGTGACGAACAGATAGGGTTACGAACAGAGGTAAATGGGTGTTCTTTAACACATGTCTAACTAATAATGGTGACAGTTGGAAAGGAGAATTGATAGAAATATCAGTAAGCGTGGCAGATGTGTGGATGAGTTCGTAGGTGAATGAGTTGGCTGATAGACAAATTCGTAGCGTGTGGCACAGGCGGATCGATAGACAATACAAAATGGTAATAGGTAGGGGAATCCTTAGGCAGATGTGTAGTTGGACGGGTAGGAGTATCGGTAGACGAATTGGTAGGCGGTTCGTTAAGAGGGTGGGAAAGGTAAATAGGTAGTCCGATGCGTGGATTGATGGTTTGGCGAATGGATTGGTAGAGGAGTAGGCGAAACAGTAGGCGGATGGGAGATGCAAATCGGTAGGCGAATCGGTTGGTAGTTGCGTAGGTGGAAGGGTTGGCGGATTGATAGCCGAATCGTTTGGCAGATAGAAAAAAGGGAATCGACAGGGGGTGGGAAAAGTGAATCGGTAGTCCGATGCGTGGATTGATGGGTTGGAGTATCGGTAGGTGAATTGGTAAGCGGATCGGTAGAAGTGTAGAAAAGGTGAATGGGTAGTCCGATGCGATTTACGGGTTAGCGGATGGATTGGTGGAGGAGTAGACGAATCGGTAGGCGGGTGGGAGATGCAAATCGGTAGGTAGTTGCGTAGGTGGATGGGTTGGCGAATTGGTAGCCGAATCGTTAGGTGGATAGAAAAAAGGGAATCGACAGGCGGGTGGGAAAGGCAAATTGGTAGACGGATAGGAAAGATAAATAGGGAGGTGAATCGGTAGGCGGGTAGGAAAGGCAAATCGGTAGGCGGATAGGAAAGGCAAATCGTTAGGCGGATGGGAAAGGCAAATCGTTAAGCGGATGGGAAAGGCAAATCGTTAGGCGGATAGGAAAGGCAAATCGTTAGGCGGATAGGAAAGGCAAATCGTTAGACGGATAGGAAAGGTAAATCGTTAGGCGGATAGGAAAGGTTAAAAAGGGAGGCTAAACGGAAGGGGTGTGGGAAATGCGAATCGGTATGTAGTTGAGTAGGTGGATGGTTTGTCGCATCGCTAGAGGATGGAAACAGCTGATCGGCAGCCTGCAGTGGTGATGGGCGCCGGCGCTCGGTGAAAAGGGTGTGCCAGCCTCACCTGCATGCGGAAGACGGAGGTGAGGGCGTCGCAGTCGCCCTGCCGGTTCCACGCCCAGTCGGGGTAGGCCGTGAGCAGCGGCGCCGAGCCGGGGCTGCCGCCGGGCACGTAGGCGGCACCCGCGCGCGGGTCCTCCACCACCGTCGCCAGCGTCGTGGGCGTGCCCGGGTTGAGGCGCGGCAGCGTCACGAACACGCGCTGCCCGCTCTCTGGCGTAGAAAACAAGAACGACAACCGTTAGCAACGCGAAAACGAACAGTTCAATAAAATAGTTAACGAAACACGTGCGGGATCTTGGCTGTCCGGGTGACGCCGCGTCGGAGGATGTGTTGCCGATGTTTCGGTAGCGATAGGAAAGGCAATCGTTAGCGGATAGGAAAGGCAAATCGTATGGCGGATAGAAAGCAAATTAATCGATTAGGAAGGAATTAGGCGAAGGAAGCAAATCGTTAGCGATAGGAACAATTAGGTAAAAGCTAGGGGCAAACGGTACGTGAATGGCAAAGCTCGAATAGTATAGTTTTATGTGTTCGCATGGCAGAGATGGAAACAGCTGATCGGCGCTCTGCATGGTGATTTAGCGCGGCGCTCGTGACATATGGGTGGCCAGCCCAACGGCACGGAAAGTACGGAGGTGTGAGCGTCGGGCAGTCGCCCTGACTCGGTTCCACCCAGTCGGGGTAGGTTCGTGAGCAGCGCGGCCGAGCCGTGGCTTTGGCCAGGCACGTACGGGCTGGGTGCGTCACTTTTATTCCACCACCGTCCGCGCAGCGTCGTGGGCGTGCTCCGGGTATTGAGCGCGCAGCGTCACATACTAGTCGCCCGCCTCTGTCTGTGAAAACAAGAACGAACTGCTTCGCAACGCGAAAACGAACGTTCAATAAAAAGTTTAACGAAACACGGCGGATCTTGGCTTCCGGTGACGCGCTCGGAGAGTGTTGCCAGTTCGGAACGTCTGTCGGGTCCTCCTAGAGTCAGGCAACTCCGGTCGGGCTGGTTCTGATTGTTGACATACAACATTGTGTAGAGGATTTGTCGCGGCTCCTCGGCAGGGCAACAGCCCGAGAAGACCGACGACAATATGGGCGAAAT